CAAGCTAGTGTTAGAGGCCTTTTTTTGCTTTTTGTTAATTGTATAATAAATATAAAGAAAACAAATAGAATACAAAAAGAATAAAAAGAATAGAGAAGCTAGCGTTATTTTTTTATTTTTTAAAGAAAAACAAGCAGTTAGTAAATAAATAGAGTACAAGTCTAAAAGGGGCAAGTATTTTTAAATAATATAATTAGAATAGAGAGTGCTAGAGTTATAGGGTCAAACAAAGATAGAAGAGATGTGATTTTAGCCGATTCTTGAAGATGGATAAGGATTGAGTTGGGCAGGTCATTCCACCAGGAGGGAATTTCTAATGTAAAAGTCTGTGAAAGTGATTTTGTGCCTCTTTGGGATGGCACAATAATGTGCCGTTCACTTGCAGAATGCAAGCTTCGAGTTGGCACAAAAGTCTGAAGTAATGAATTTAGGTAAAGTTGTGCAGAGCCAGTGGTTTTGTAGGCAAACATTAATGCCTTGAATTTTATGCGAGCAGCTATTGGTAGCCAGTGCAAATTGATAAACAGAGGTGTGACGTGCATTCTTTTCAGCTCATTAAAAATGTATCTTGCTGCCGCGTTCTGGATTAATTGTAAAGGTTTGATAGAACTGGCTGGAAGACCTGCCAAGAGAGCATTGCAATAGTCCAGCCTGGACAGAACAAGAGCTTGAACAAGGAGTTGTGAAGCATGTTCTGAAAGAAAGGGCCTGATCTTCTTGATGTTGAATAAAGCAAATCTGCAGGACCGGGCAGTTTTAGCAATGTGGTCTGAGAAAGTCAGCTGATCATCAATCATTACTCCAGGGCTTCTGGCTGTTTTTGAAGGATTTATAGTTGATGTGCCTAACTGGATGATGAAATTGTGATGAAACAATAAGTTTGATGGAACCACAAGCAGTTCTGTCTTGGCCAGGTTGAGTTGAAGGTGATGGTCCTTCATCCAGCAAATAATGTCTGTTAGACAAGCTGAGATGCAAGCAGCTATTGTCGGATCATCAGGATGGAATGAGAGGTAGAGTTGAATGTCATCAGCATAGCAGTGATATGAAAAGCCATCCCAGACAGCAACATAGTGTTGGCCCAGATCAGGCCGGGATCTGGGCCGAAACTGGTTGCTGGCTAGGATGTTTCTGAATGACAGAACCTAGTGATGCCATGTAGACAGAGAAGAGAAGTGGTCCAAGAACTGAGCCCTGAGGCACCCCAGTAGCTAGATGGCACGACTTGGACATCTCACCTCTCCAAGATATCTCGAAGGACCTATCTGAGAGGTAAGACTCAAACCACTGGAGTGCGGTTCCTGAGATGCACTTTGCCAATAGGGTTGACAGGAGAATCTGGTGGTTAACCTTGTCAAAAGCAGAGGACAGATCCAACAAGATAAGTATTGAGGATTTGGAATCCGCTCTTGCCAGTCTTAGGGCTTCAACAACTGAGAGCAAGGCAGTCTCGGGTGAATGTCCACTTCTGAAGACAGACCGGTAAACATAAAGATAGTATATTTTAAATATGTGTTTAATGGCATCTTTTTACTAAGTAGTAACTATTATTAATGAAGGCCAGTATCACTGATACCAATATTGCTTTTGACGTCTCTATTAAATGCATTTTCCCTCAATTGTCGCCAATGGTTATAGCAATTCAACATTACAGTATAATTGAAAGCCATTAGTTTTTAGCATTTAATAAGCTTTGAAAAATATAACTTTAAATTTAAGTGAACTTAAAACAATCTTCAAATAAACCATAAATTGCAGAGCAGTGAGCGATTTCTCTTTTTCTTTTGTTCTTTGATTTACATCAATGACACAAACTGCAGCAGGCGCAATGCCTCCATTGCGATATGATTGGATATGACTGCTAATGTTTGGCTGTGATTGGTTCATGCGATAAATCCCGCCTCTGTTCATGCGCATTCACTAATCAGTCTAAATAAAAAATATAATGGGAAGACAAATTATAAAAAATAAGTAAACAACTAACACACTTAGATATAACCACCTTGTTATGTCAAAATAAATCTTAAAGGGTTAGTTCTCCCAAAAATTAAAATTCTGTCATTAATTACTGACCCTCGTGTTGTTCGAAACCCGTAAGACTTTCGTTCATCTTCGGAACACAATTTAAGATATTTTTGATGAAATATGAGGGCTCTCTCGCCCTCCCATAGACAGCAAGGTAACTACCACGTTTAAGGTCCAGAAAAGTACCAAGATGATCGACAAAGTAGTCCGTGTGACATCAGTGGTTCAACTGTAAAGTTACGAAACTACGAGAATACTTTTTTTGCGCAAAGAAAACAAAAATAAAGACTTTATTCCACATTTTTGTCTCTACTGCGTCACTTGTAGATGCGCGTTCACGACAGTATCATGACGCGAGCGTGTGGCGGCGCTGACCCAGATCGTTATTTTAGTTTTCTTTGCGCAAAAGAGTATTCTCGTAGCTTCGTAACTTTACAGTTGAACCACTGATGTCACACGGGATGAAATATGAGGGCTCTCTCACCCTCCCATAGACAGCAAGGTAACTACCACGTTTAAGGTCCAGAAAAGTACCAAGATGATCGACAAAGTAGTCCGTGTGACATCAGTGGTTCAACTGTAAAGTTACGAAACTACGAGAATACTTTTTTTGCGCAAAGAAAACAAAAATAAAGACTTTATTCCACATTTTTGTCTCATGATATCTCAGTATCATGACGCGAGCGTGTGGCGGCGCTGACCCAGATCGTTATTTTAGTTTTCTTTGCGCAAAAGAGTATTCTCGTAGCTTCGTAACTTTACAGTTGAACCACTGATGTCACACGGACTACACCTCTGGCTTGCTTAGTTGGGGACACTTCATTTCCAGCGTTATCGTTGACTTGATTGCACAGATACTTTTAAACTGAACTGAGCTGGATGATGACATCACTGAATTCAATGATGAACTGCCTTTAACTGAAAAATGAGTGTTTACTATTGTCATTTTGCATTATTGACACTATTTTCCTAATTAACGCTGTACAGTTGCTTTGACACAGTCTGTATTGTTAAAAGCGCTATATAAATAAAGGTGACTTGACTTGACTTGATGGGTTTGGAACAACATGAGGGTGAGTAATTAATTATAGAATTTTCATTTTTGGGTGAACTAACCCTTTAAATTTGCATGAAAACATGATCTGTGTGAGTTTTAGTGGGTAATCAGCTTGCTGAAATTTAAAGTAAATCTCGGTGTCTGTGACCAATATTTACAGAGCTCTGATGACTGATGATCTGAAAACTATTAAACTATTAAAAAGAATAGCCAAACATAAGTTCACAAATAAAATCTATTGTTTAAATTGTTACTGCCTTGAGTTATTATTTTGGAATAAATGTAAAATTCTTAAAAACACTAACTTAATGAGATTCATACATGGCTTTAATAAATAGAATATTGATTACATTGTTAATGTAAAAATATAAATAGATTTATTTTTCTTTTCTTTTTTTATGATAGGGTAAGTAAAGTAATGTTAATCTAAAAAAAAGAAAAGAAAGGAAACTACATGCACTCTTGTAAAATGAATTCAGCAACATACAGTAAGCTCACCACCTAGTGGACATATCTCCTCATATATAACAAGCAATCACACCTAATTAGATATTCAGAGATCAGCATGTATATATTCAGCAGCATTTTGTTGTTGTTGATGATTAAAAGAAACCAGTTTCTTTTGAATTGAATTGCCTGAGCTTGGTTTTGTTAGAGAACAACACTCCCACACAAGATGCCACAAGGTGCTTCTTTGGTGTTTTGTCCGTTTTGGAGCTAAACATCTGTGATTATCATCAATTACTGTTAAATGGAAAACAGCTGCCTAAAAATATACCTATCTGCATGACTCTGCCAAACACTGAGGAGTTGTCCACTGTGCTGCAGTTCCAGCGGCGGTTGCGAAACTGGTATTGGCACTCCCGGATGCCTGTCTTGGCGCCCTCTCCAATGAACTGCATGTGATCTTGGTACAGCTGGCAAAGCTTCTTCTTACATGGCTTTAATAAATAGAATATTGATTACATTGTTAATGTAAAAATATAAATAGATTTATTTTTCTTTTCTTTTTTTATGATAGGGTAAGTAAAGTAATGTTAATCTAAAAAAAAGAAAAGAAAGGAAAAGAAAAGAAATAAAAAAACTTTGACGACTTTGCCTCCTAATTTTACAACACCACTGCACGTCACTGATATGTATTATTTTATATTATATTATATTATATTATATTATTATTAAACGAACCTAAAATACCTAAAAGGTAGCTGCAGAGTCTAAACAAGAGAAATAAGCTTAAGAAAACAAAACAAAATAGAGAGAACACAGCAGATTAGTTTGACCATGTGTGCAAGTTTAGATGAAAATGACTAATCTTCACATAGTTACAGCTGTCTTACCCTCCGTCCTGCCTCATTGTTATGAAGGTTCATCAGCAGTCTTGCACTCTCCATAGAGCCTTTGGTGAAAGTTTTTTCCCGTTCACGTGCATCCACAAACTCCTTGCTGAAGCGATATCCATAATTGAGGTTGTCACCACAGCCGCCCCACAGCCAGTCTCGTGGCAGATCTTTAGGTCTCGCTGCCCTGCTGCAGCCACAGCTCGACAGCTCCCCCTCTCTGCAGGCACGGCTCACTGCATTGACCACGCCAGCAGCACTGATAGCGTACGTAAATGCTGTCTCTCTGCTCCCTGGAAAAGCAAACAACCACCACAACAAATTCACATTTACCTTTTTTTATTTGCTTTCATTAGCAACAGTTTATTAGTAAATCATAATCATTTATTCCGTTTACCCTAACATATTTATCCTAGGAACATTGACCAAATCTGAAAGAATCTTAAGAATTGCTGTTCTGAAAACCTGTCTTGTACATTATGTAGCATCGCTTTAATGTGTCAGAATTTAAAAAGAGAAGGAACTTCAAACTAGTTTGAAGGAGCTTCAAACTAAATAGACATATGTAGGTCCGATATGTTTTTGTTTTAAACCATAAAGAAAAATTTAGGTGCATCACAATGATGTGCTGGTACATGCACTCTTGTAAAATGAATTCAGCAACATATAGTAAGCTCACCACCTAGTGGACATATCTCCTCATATATAACAAGCAATCACACCTAATTAGATATTCAGAGATCAGCATGTATATATTCAGCAGCATTTTGTTGTTGTTGGTGATTAAAAGAAACCAGTTTCTTTTGAATTGAATTGCCTGAGCTTGGTTTTGTTAGAGAACAACACTCCCACACAAGATGCCACAAGGTGCTTCTATGGTGTTTTGTCCGTTTTGGAGCTAAACATCTGTGATTATCATCAATTACTGTTAAATGGAAAACAGCTGCCTAAAAATATACCTATCTGCATGACTCTGCCAAACACTGAGGAGTTGTCCACTGTGCTGCAGTTCCAGCGGCGGTTGCGAAACTGGTATTGGCACTCCCGGATGCCTGTCTTGGCGCCCTCTCCAATGAACTGCATGTGATCTTGGTACAGCTGGCAAAGCTTCTTCTGACCTTTAGACAGTCCAGCTAGTTGACTGCACAGCGGCTGTCCTCCTATGATATACGCTTCTGGTATCAGGAGGGGATTCATCGCTAGAGACCTGGAAGACACCCCATGCACAAGCACACAAATTTAGTGATGATTTTTGTATATATGAGCAATATCACACTTGTAGCCATGTGATATCGCTGTATATCAGCATGGCTGTGATTCCACAATGCTATAGGTAATCACAGCCATGCAGATATAGAGCGATATCACATGGCTACGAGTGTGATATTGTGTTTGTACAACAGTTTGATGGCACAAGTGTGTAAATAAATAAGAAACAACCGTCTTAAAAAACCTTTTTGTGTGCAGAACTACAGTACTACCTTCCTCAAATCTTAAGTTGACAGTTTAACAGCTGAGCCCAAACCTCTGTTGCTAATTCAAAAACATAACTTTAGAACTAGTAATGAAGGAACGCTGATTTGCTTCTTTGCAAGCTTATTGTATTATGTAGATTATTATGACAGAGAGATGGACAGAGTGAGTGTGATTACCTGCATCTGATACAGCATTCATTCTTCAGCTCAATCTCATATTCACAATAAACATTAGTTTGAATGTCCGCTGAGGAAAGTCATATCTTTGTCATAGTATCCTTTCAAATGTTAAAGAAGACATATTATGCCCCTTTTCACAATATGTAATATAAGTCTCAGGTGTCCCCAGAATGTGTCTGTGACGTTTCAGCTCAAAATACCCCACAAATCATGTATTACATCATTTTGAAAATGCCTATTTTGAGTGGAAGCAGAAACACGCTGTTTATGTGCATGTCTCTTTAAATGCAATTTTGTGTGCAGAACTACAGTACTACCTTCCTCAAATCTTAAGTTGACAGTTTAACAGCTGAGCCCAAACCTCTGTTGCTAATTCAAAAACATAACTTTAGAACTAGTAATGAAGGAACGCTGATTTGCTTCTTTGCAAGCTTATTGTATTATGTAGATTATTATGACAGAGAGATGGACAGAGTGAGTGTGATTACCTGCATCTGATACAGCATTCATTCTTCAGCTCAATCTCATGTTCACAATAAACATTAGTTTGAATGTCCGCTGAGGAAAGTCATATCTTTGTCATAGTATCCTTTCAAATGTTAAAGAAGACATATTATGCCCCTTTTCACAATATGTAATATAAGTCTCAGGTGTCCCCAGAATGTGTCTGTGACGTTTCAGCTCAAAATACCCCACAAATCATGTATTACATCATTTTGAAAATGCCTATTTTGAGTGGAAGCAGAAACGGCTGTTTATATGCATGTCTCTTTAAATGCAAATGAGCTGCTGTTCCCCGCCCCCTTTTCCAGAATAGAGCTGTGCCATTATAGCTTGTACCTGCTAAAAAACATCTGTTTTGGTTCTGATTATCATGTTTATCATGCTGAAATTATACGTTTTAAACCATATTAGTTTAAACTTCAGATATAAGGTTTTCTGATAAATAAGAAACAACCGTCTTAAAAAACCTGTTTGTGTGCAGAACTACAGTACTACCTTCCTCAAATCTTAAGTTGACAGTTTAACAGCTGAGCCCAAACCTCTGTTGCTAATTTAAAAACATAACTTTAGAACTAGTAATGAAGGAACGCTGATTTGCTTCTTTGCAAGCTTATTGTATTATGTAGATTATTATGACAGAGAGATGGACAGAGTGAGTGTGATTACCTGCATCTGATACAGCATTCATTCTTCAGCTCAATCTCATGTTCACAATAAACATTAGTTTGAATGTCCGCTGAGGAAAGTCATATCTTTGTCATAGTATCCTTTCAAATGTTAAAGAAGACATATTATGCCCCTTTTCACAATATGTAATATAAGTCTCAGGTGTCCCCAGAATGTGTCTGTGACGTTTCAGCTCAAAATACCCCACAAATCATGTATTACATCATTTTGAAAATGCCTATTTTGAGTGGAAGCAGAAACGGCTGTTTATATGCATGTCTCTTTAAATGCAAATGAGCTGCTGTTCCCCGCCCCCTTTTCCAGAATAGAGCTGTGCCATTATAGCTTGTACCTGCTAAAAAACATCTGTTTTGGTTCTGATTATCATGTTTATCATGCTGAAATTATACGTTTTAAACCATATTAGTTTAAACTTCAGATATAAGGTTTTCTGAGCGCACACATCCGAAGCACACGCACAGAAAGCGGCTGTCACAGCATGCGAGTACTAAACTAAGCTCTCATTCACACACAAGTTTACGTTAAAAACACACGAGTTACAAAAACATTTGGTTACGTCAGTGAAGATAAACAGCTGGAAAAGAAATCGGATGTTTATATTAGATCTGTGTGGCAGCAGCAATATACAGTAAATAAATCAATAAATCCACTGCTCTGTTGTCTCTGAGGCTGGGACTCTAAACAGTGTTCTGTGCTTGTCTGTGCAGCCAAAGACAGAACTGTTAGCATGCTTTGCTCAAACTTTCACCATGGCATTAGAACTGGTACACCATTGTCGCTTGCGAAAACACAATGATGGTGGCGGGGGTGTAAACTTACAGATCAAGAGGCGGTAATATTATAATGAGATCCCTTTGCAATGTCACTAGGGGAGCGAAATCAGATGTGCTCGTTTTTTCAAAGGCTTGCAGAAAAAGTCTTGCCAAAACAAAGTTACTGGGTTAATCTTTTTCACATTTCCTTCTTTGGTAGCTGCACCGGGGACCTGATTATAGCACTTAAAACCTGGAGAAGTCAGATTTTCATGATATGTCACCTTTAAGGGGATTTCCCACCACGACAATGAACAATGCATTTGTTTGCTGTATGTTGTTGAAAGTAAAAATAATTTCCTATATTTATTTACTTTTAATTATTCCTTCTTTCAGTTTCTTTCAATATAAAAGTCTTTACTGTTTACTCACTCATAAAGACAGTCACTTGTCGCCATCAATGTAACAATGTAATCATCATCACTATGTAGGGTCAAAAATAATGAAAGACTTCTGCTTTCCTGTCCCAAACCTATCTTGAGTAACAAAAGGGACATTTGGAATTCCTGAAGGCACAGAGGTCCTGATAGTGATTAAGGCCTGTAGGCCAAGATGTGTATACATTGGGGGTCTACTAATTATTAGACCTTTTGCACAGTAGGTGAAGCTGTAATCTGCTGAATGGTCAGTTTGAATGTCTCACATTTGGTTTTTAGTCACATGGTCATGGAAGGGATAAAAGAAGATTGCAAATGTTGCTCTGTCTCTGTCTCTTTCTCTTTGCAACCTCATTTCTTTGCTAGCACTCTCTTCTTGGGGCTCTGCCTTCTCTCCCTCTTTTTCTCCGTCTCTCTATAACCCCCTCTCTCTCTTTCTGTCTCTTAACTAAGGTAACATTTTACATACATGCTGGGCATCCTTCATCTATTTATAACCAACTCAAGTGTAACCATAATAACGAAATACTATTATTAAACCATTTCAATTATAAATTATGTGCTAACTAGTCTTGATTCAGCATTAACTTTGAAGTGCTACCTACTGCGATACAATATAGTCACTCAATAGCAACGCTCTCCAACATACAGTATTTAGCTATTCCAACTGTGCTTATTTCAGTCAAGTGGCAGTGGGTGGTAATAGACAAGAAATGTACAGTTTTATACCATCGTGCTGATATCATTTCTTTAGTCATTCAGCAATCCCACAGCCTGGACCACTGTAGGGAAACCACCCTTACAACTAACACACAGACCTGTCTCAATACCAAATACTAATATTAAATGATATTACTATTATTTATATAAAATGTTATTTATTCAACATTAATATTTAATAAACAAAAATGCCATTATAAAAGTTTATATGCAATTCAGTGAAGAGTACAAAGGCAGCACTCTGATACAGCATCGAAGTTACATAAAAATACAGTTATGAAACTTTGCTCTCAGTCAAAACTATTTGCTCTAGAACAAATAATAGATTAATGAGATGAAAGAGTGCCCATTGGATATACTCCGAAATGAATTATATCTCATGTTTAACTGCTAGAGACATTAGAGCCAGCAGCAAATTCCAGAAAAGCTGGCTGAGATAAGGCTTTTCGGTTACACTTTACTTGAAGGGGTGTGCATAAGACTGACATGACACCTTCATAATCATGGCATGACACCTACATAATTATGACATGACACATATCATGAATATGAAGGTTTTTTTATGCATGTTTATGACAACAGTCATTAAGTGTCATTCGCTCAGTTATGTAATTTTTAATGCAAAGATGACATTGTTTGAGATGTCTTTGTTATGGGCTATGGTTAGGGGTAAGGGTAGGGGTAGGGTTAGGTCAAATAATGTCATATTTGCATTAAAAATGACATAACTGAGCGAATGACACTTAATGACAGTTGTCACAAACATGCATAAAACCTCCTTCATATTCATGACATGTGTCATGTCATGATTATTAAGGTGTCATGTCAGTCTTATGCACACCCCTTCAAGTAAAGTGTTACCGGCTTTTCTCAGGGGGCTCATGAGCACTGAATGGCCGCTAACGCACTGGAGATCACATTTCACATTTTTATTAATAAACAGCACATTTGAAGTTTAAACAACTGCATTCTCACCAAAAAAACAAAAACAACAACAACAAAAAAACACCTCTTCAAACTACATTCTGTGACACAACAACAGTATTATTTCAAAAATTATAGTGGATTTGTGCATCCACCATGACAGTCGCTGTGAGAAATGCTACAAGTGGAGTGATACAAACGGTGAAACGGTAGTGATGGGTGCTTTTGAAGCACTTCTTCGTGACGCTTCAAAACATTTGTGAATCATTTGTTTCGAACCAGTGGTTTGGAGCATGTATCAAACTGCCAAAGTCACATGATTTCAGTAAACAAGGCTTTGTTTTGTCATAACTGTTTCAAAATGTTTCTAAATTTCAATGGTTCGTTGCTAGGGGGTGATGATGCCAGTGAACCCATGAATCAATGATCACACCAGCAGCAAACCTAATCTCCGATCAGTTTAAAAATGGTCAAATATTTTTAATGAGACATTTGTGTCTCATTAATTAAATTAATGAATAATTAAAAGGAAGAGTTGTAGTTAATAGTCTCTTATTGGCCTTTTTAGACAGGTCTTGGGTTTGTAAAAGCTGTTTTATGCATGTGTAGAGTTTTTGTTGTATTTTTATGTGGTATTTTGAGCGTTTCGAAAAAGTGAATCAGTTTTTCATCCTGAAATTCAGCAGTATGAGGAAGAAATGGATCCTCACAGACATGTTGCACAACGTATAAGACATACAGAGTTACACAAAAAAACAATGTTTCTTGAATGAATGAAACCCATACATACTATGATGACTTTGTATTTTCAAATGTATTTTTGAAAAAACACTACATACCACCATGAGCTAGCTTCCACAAACACTTGCATAAAGAAGGCACAGAAGGTAATGGTGACCGCTCCGTGTCGTGAATCCATGATTCCACCCCACCCCGAGCGCATCAACTTCAGCTTGAACAACATTCTGACCTGAAGAAACAAGATGACGAGTTATATTTCACACAAAGCTCAGCTGTTACTCTGTGTGCTAGTGGAGACATTTGAAGAATGTGTTTATCTGTGCAAAATGAAGAAAAGAAAGAGTTACAGCTTATATCTGCATAATAATTTTGATCCAAGTTACTATATTGTGAAAGTTAAAAACACCACTTTGTATATGAAAAATTGCAGTCCTTTAAACAGAGAGAGCCTAACCTGAGGGAGGCTTACAATCTCAATGCATAATCTAGAAAGCCTGTCTGTGTATCGCATATTTATATGAGATATAAACATAAACTCTATAAACATGAACCCCAAAACATCCCTGTAGTTTAGACACACCAGTCTAAATAGCAAATTAAGATATGACATGCACAATTGAAAATGCACAGCAATTTCTGTAATATTTTATTTATTTACTTTTTTACCTCTATTGCTGCTATGTAACTACCCTGTACAACCTGTTTGCACATTCTTCTCTTGTACATTCCTGCTCATCTTAATATTTATTAAGTCTACAATATACTGTCCTGCGCATTTTATTTTATGCTTATTTTTTTTATCTTACTTTTTCCATACCTATATTTATATATAATTTTCTTGTGTTTGTATTCTTTAATAATTGCTCTGTCCATGGAGCGGACCTGACTTACATTTCACTGCTGGTCATATATTCTCTATATATAACCATGTATGTGAAAAAATAAAAAATCTTGAATCTTGAAATGCAGACTATGAATTTATATATATTATGAAATAGACATCAATGTCACATCAGTGCGACAAAGGCTGTCCCTCCTCCAAATGTGTCCTTCGTGTCCTGGGCCATGAAGGATACAAAGAATCGATCCTTCAAGGACCAGACTATCCCAAGGTTTATTATGTGACGACAGGATTTTTATTTAATTATTAAAATATTTTTTTAAGACAATATTTTAAGACAATGTTACAGTTTCAAATGTAAATATTGAGCTTCATCTTACTTGAAAACACTAAAAGTTTACTTTTCTCACTAAGATGCGATTTTATAGGTAGTTTATAATTTTTATCATATACATAATGGACCAAGGTGAACATGTTTAGACAGTTTGTGAATCCTGTTTTGTTTTCAAACAGTTAAATATAACAAAAAAAAGTACAGTACAAACTTTACTGTCACTCATGATTGATAGGTGACAAGAATAATCCCCCATAAGCTAGATGTCCCATTTAACACCTGCAGCCGCTGAATTGGGACACAGCTATAGAAAAACATTTAAGTAAATGCAATAATTTCCAAAATAAAATTTGATTATTTATATATAGTTGTTAAAGGGGATCTATTATGCAAAAATCATTTTTATAAGGTGTTTGAACACAGTTGTGTGGCCGCAGTATGTAAAACAACCAGGCTATAATGGTAAAAATCCACCCACTCATTTTATATAATCCCAATAAATCATAAACAGTCTCTCAGAACAAGCATTTCCAGATTTCTCCCTACGTTGACATCACTGTAGGGAGAAATCCCACCCATTTGTGATGATCGCTGCCGAATTAGCACAGATACATGAGTGAGAAGCAGCAGTCTGCCATTACTGTTTTCTTGCTGCAGCTGCTGGAAATACAATGTCAGTGCCAAAGAGGCATTATAAGTGTCGTGTGTTGGAATGCACCAACGAACATAGGAGTCTCCATAGACTCCCTCCATCTGAGCCGCTAAGGACACTGTGGTTAAGTTTTATTTTCGAAGGAAATGTCCTGGAAAAAATCGATAAAGTCCTATATGTTTGTGCCAATCATTTTACGCCGTACTGCCTCACAAACAAGAGTCAGTTCAACGCTGGATTTTCACAAAGGTTGATTCTGAAAGAGGGATCAATACCAATGCTTTGTGCACGAACGTCATCTCCAGACAAAGTAAGTATCACACGTCATATTTTGTTTTCCAAATTGCCTTTCTGAAAGAGTTTCTTGGCAATTTGTAAGGCTAATTTTTGCTAAAGCTACCATTGTTTTCACTGATGCTGCCTTCATGTGCTACCAGAATGATCAAATGTGGTAGTTAAAAATTGCTTATGAAAGCAACATATAAGGCTGTACACAGCTACTGAGAGTTTCTGACATTTTCAGTGCATAAGTTTGTCCTGTTTTGTTGTTGCCGGTATGCCGGAACATGAGCTCTTGAAGCTCTGCCCTCTTCTGAAAAGGGGGCCGGGAGCACCAGTGTTTGCCTCAGTTAGTACAGACCTGGCCAAGGTTGCATCTGTATGATTATTTCTCAATAGCTCTGTTACCCGGAGTTCTAGCAAGGCTTCGACAAGATGGAATACGCCTGTTGCTCATAGCCCCTTTGGTTCTTGGACCTTATATCTTTCCTAGATTGTGCTCCATGGAAAATTCCCATCCAGGAAGACCTTCTATCTCAAGTGCTGGGCTTTATTCACTACACATGGCCCGAGATCTGAAAACTGTGGGTCTGGCCCCTGAGGGGGACCACATTATAGACTTTGGTCTCTCAACCGTGGTTGTTGAGACCGTACTAAATACTAGAGCCTTCTCCGCAAGGAAACTGTTTGCCCTGAAATGGCAGCTCATTCCGTAACCTCATCCTGCATAGATTTTGCCCCTGGACAGGCCAAAGTAATTCTGCTCCCTAGACAAGAATACATTCCGAAGGTGCCCTCTTCGACCACTCAGCCAGTTGTACTTCAGGCCTTCTTCCCTCTAGAGCGGCATAAATCAAATCAACTTTTGTTATGCTTTGATGGACGCAGCAAGGGTACTGCAGTCACCAAGCAGTGTCTATCGCATTGGATCACATACGCAATTTTCCTGGCCTATGAGGCACATGGGTTGCCTTTGCCTCTAGTACTTTGCCACTCAGGGTTTGGCACCTTCTAAGGCATTCTATTAGGGTATGCCTTTGCAAGATGTTTGTGCTGCAGCAGGCTGGTCCTTTCCACACACATTCATATGGTTTACAGTTTGGATACAGAATCATCCTTGTGTATATTAACATTCCCATAGTATCAACACCAAGGCACAGTGTCAAAGTTCGATCCTAGGGGAATGTCTCCAGGTTACATATGTAATCCTGTTTCCCTGATAAGGGAATGAGACCCTGCATCTAGGGATGCAGCAATTAACCAATTTCACGATTAACCGCGCTTTAAAACGTCATGGTTAATTCATCGTAAAGGCTGCGCTACACTGAGTCTTTCTGTTGCACGGAATGGAACTGTTGCAACTTGCACAAAACAAAGTTACACCAGCCGTGCACCAGCTTAAAGTGCCATGCTTATCAGAGACACATCGGCTACTACACACACTAGATTAACTTTGACAGAGGGACCAAACAACGAAGCTTTATTTCCACCAGAGAATGCCTTTTGGGTATTAACATTTTGGGTACACCAAGTATGACGAGGGCATCATTTAAATATTGCTGAAAAAAACTGGTGCTAAAAGAGCGAATACATAAGGAATAATGCACGGCTAGCTTTGCATTAAACCATTTTAATGCACGGCATGAAGAACCACCTGACGCAAAGCTATGGCTCGTTAGCTTAGCATTCTGCCCGCTTCAGATCAGACAGAGAGGAAATAGTAAGGTAAGGTCACATTTATTTGAATGAATGAATTATAATATTTAGCTACTTTAATTATTCAATCGATCGAGACAATTTTTCATACTCCTGAATGTTTCTGTGTGTGTGCAGCATGATCTCCAATCTCACAAACCAAAATAATAGACATGATTTTCTCAGGCCACATGTAAAATCAGATGAAATATTAAAAAGATTATTAAAATTAGTATGTAACAGTAACAGTTTCCCCTGGGGGATAAACAAAGTAAAAATGTGTCTTGTATTAATAATAATGCTTCATTAACATTAACATATTATTAACATATTTATTATCCCTGTTATAGTATTATTTATGTCAAAGACCAAGAGGATTTTTTTTTCACCATGTTTCCAAGTCCTCTACCTCAGGTCCAAAAGAAATGTAGAAATAATGTACAAACTGAAAACACTGAATACTTTTGTGATCTATTTTCATTTGTTATTTTCAAAAGGGAAATACTGACATGGATATTTACAAAGCAGAGGTCACCTTTTTTAATTCCAATGGGAGAGATTAACTTGTTGTTTGTCTTTATTATTATTTTGTACTGTATTATTTGGTTACTGTGTTATTTCTGTTTCAAAAGGAAGCAATAAATAACACTTTCAAATCTAAAGAGTGTTCATGTGATTTTATGCATAAGTAATGTTGTGAAATGAATAAATGCATAATAATCATGATAATCGTGAAACCGTGATTATTCCTCAGAGTCTACCAACACTATCTATAATGGTTGCATCCCCACCTGCATCATGTCGCCATACTTCAACATGATTTCACTTGTGTTTCAGACACCGGCACACACTGGAAGTGTACCAATAGTGTCAACACAATGATGCTGCATCTTGTTCCCTTCTCAGAGGACCAGGATGACATACATAACCCGGAGACATTTTCTATAGTGAAGGGCAGGGTGCAAACTACGGGGGAGCAAGGGGGAGCTCAGCTCCCCTTAATAAGACACGGGCTCCCCTGAAAACGTGATTTGTGAAATTTTGGGGGGTCTCAAAAAATATTGACTATGTTATTTTGACGTGCAATTTCAGTTTTGTGTAATGTGATCATCGTGGATTATTATGGGTAAAATTGCAAAAATATCATTCATTAATTCATGCATGATGGCGATTTAAACCTAATTCACTTCAATACAGAAAACTATACATGCTATTCTTGTCATGAGCATCAAGGTGTGGGGGCGCTGCAGTGCAAATTCCACTCATGTTTAGTACATGTTAACTTAAAGATTCGTAGAAAAAATATAAACGTTGGACTCTGGTCGATTCTGTGTTAAGGTAAGGCATGTTATTCGCAATTATGTGTTGTGGCTGGGTTGTTATAGGTCTGCGTGACTCTCGATGTTTTAGGCCTAATTGAACGGAGGGGTAGCCTGACAACGAGTAACTTTAACCGTTGTTCATGTGAACTCAAAGACAGCCTGATGCTTTGTTTATAGACTATTTGTGGGTGGCTGCTTGTTGTTTCACCTATCAATTCGTGTTGATAAAGTATAATAGTGATTTATCCTATATAGTGCTACAAGTAGTGCATACACTTGTAGCTGTTATGTATCTTTGTAAGTTATTCTTTTGAGGCACGCGCAAGCACACGAATTGACTGTGACCCAAATTATAAAGTAACCTAAGTTAAACTGTGTACAAAATGTTTCACTCAACCAGCATAAACCGCTTCCTAAATAAATTACTTTTATGAGCTTTTATGAATTAAAAAATATAAAACAGAAAAGCTGTCACCCAGTATTAAAAAGTGTATAATTAAGTTCTACCACAATAAAATGCAAGCTCTTACATGAAACACGTCTGTCCTACTTATTTTAATTTTTTCAAAGCAGACCCACTGCATAATTCACAAGGCTCTTTTGTTGTTTGTTTGTTTAGTTTTTTTTTGGTAGATGAGGTGTTAAAGTAAACTCATTACATCTTTTCAAGCAAAACCAGACATTTTAAGAATTTCTGCAACTTTTTTAAGCTACAACTATACCTCTTGTATATACAAACACTGTTTTATCAGTTTCAAAAACATTCAGATGGTACACTGGCAAAATGCCTTCTTGTTTCTTTCCTGTGTTCCCATGAAACAGTAATTCTTAATTCCAGTTGTGAGGCACATGTTCTTTTTCTCATCCAGTGAAGTCATACACAGATAGATAACTTTCTTAAAATTAAGAATAAGATAAATGTCAAAATTATGAAAGGAAGTAAACTTGTTTGACTTTTCAAAATAAATATTTTTTTTACAATATATGAAAGTGTAACAACAATATTGTAGTATTGTACATCTCTTTTACATATGAATAATAGTACGCTAGTAAGGAAATAAATAAAAAAAAGAAGCAGCACAGGTTAATTCAGGCAGTAACACAATAGGAGAAGTTAGAAATACAAAAACGTATAAAACATATCATGATTTAACAATTTAAAGGGGTCATATGATGCTTTTTTAAAGATCATTATTTATAATATGGGGGGGGTCTCGTTCAAAAATCCAAATTTGAAATAAAGGATTTAAAGGGTGTCCAAATATTCTCATAATAGGAAAGTTTACACACACACATATATATATATATATATATATATATATATATGTTTTGCATCTTTTCCATCGCTAAACAGAAGGACCTGGTATTGATTCACAATAGATGGCCTTTTTCACTTTCTTCCAGTACAAAGCTATTAGACGCTTTGCTTGGAGTGTACATGTATCAGTTTACAAGTGCTGCCACAGTATACAATAATCTCAAGAATAATTTCCAAAATAAAACTTCTGACTTCATGGGTAGATTTATAGATACCATCT